CTTCTTCTTCTTCTTCTTCTTCTTCTTCTTCTTCTTCTTCTTCTTCTCCTCCTTCTCCTTCTCCTTCTCCTTCTCCTCTTCTTCTTCCTCCTCCTCCATTCCCTTCCCCTTCCCCTCCTTCCCCTCCTCCCCCTCCTTTTCCTTTTCCTTCTCCTTCTCCCCCTTCCCCTTGTTCAGTTTCCATCTATTATTCCTTGTTTGGCCTTTGAGTGCTTTGGAAAGTAGCTTGACCCCCTTCCTCCTCTCTGTGGCAGCCTTTCCAATATGGGGAGATGCTCTCCTGTCTCCCCTGGTTCTTCTCTTCGCTAGACTATTATCCGTCCATTGTCCACAAAGTATCCAGAACCCTGTTGGTCAACCTTCCGCAGGTGTTGACCTCTGCTCCCAGAATTACTCTAGCCAACCTTTGCCGTGGCAGAGAATCCTGGGAGTTGAAGTCCACACCTCTGGCAGTTGCCCAGGTGGAGAAATGCTGAGTTGAAGCCTCTCCAAGAAGCTCTGGAATTCTCTTACCATTCAGGGCAGGAAGGAAGGCCTCTTCAACGATCTTGCCCACCAATCCCTCCATCAGGGAGATCTGCATCCAAGGGAAAAACCTTTTAACGCCTTCAACTCATCCAAGGGGCAGTTGAGGTTCCCCTGGATTTTACCATTCATGAGCCCACCTTCCCATCATTGAACTTAAATGCAGAAAGGACGCTTGCCTAGCAAACATTCCTAGAATCCAAAATTTACTTTCAGAACTTCTAAGAAAGGATGTTTAAATAAGACCCTTGCTAAGTCACACTTCATGCTTCCACGGCCGTGTTGGGTCTTTGAGGCATGATTTTAAGTCAGAGATGTCCAACCCTTGGTCACTTTAAGACTTGTGGACTTCGATTCCCAGAATTCCTCAGCCAGCTGGCAGGGGATTGTGGCCCGCAGACTCGGACAGTGAGGAGGCTGGGGAGGAACATGGGCCAGTCTTGGAGTTTGGGGAAGGCTCTGACGAGGGCTCTGCATCGGAAGCAGAGATGGGCCCAGGGCCGTCCAACAGTTATCAGCTGCCTTCGGAGTTGGAGATCAGTGGGGAAGAAGAACAGCTGGAGCCTGTTCCCAGTGTGCTCATGAACCGAGCTGCCAGATGAAGGGAACAGCTAAGGAACGAGGGCCGACTCGGGAGGACAGTAGATGGTGAATGGGCCCTTCCATAGGGAATAAAGAGGAGTGAAAGGGAAGTGGGGTTTGCAGGAGGCAATTAGTTCAATTCATGAGGGTGAAGATCTCTTCCTGACTCCTTGTCAAGTCATTGCTGCTATAGTGTGGCGTTTGGAAGCTATCGGCCTGGCAACTCTCCAAGCCTGATCAAGGTCTGTAGTTGTGAAATCTCTTGGAAGACTGTTGGCCGGGACTTTGCTGGAGTGGAATTCCCTTGAACCTAAATAAAAGGGGTTTTATCAGGACAAGGAGTCGGCTTCGTGATCTTGGGAACAAGCCCAGGTCAGAGCAGGGGAATTCTGGAAGTCCAAGTCCACAACTCTTAAAGTGGCCAAGATTGTACACCCCTGATTTTAAGTTAAGCCTTTAATATCCATAAGCATGATCTAACCCATAAGGCATGCCGTTAAACATGTTACGTGTGAACATGCAAGCATTCAGCAGGAGGCGCAAACATGTCAAAATTCCTGTTGCGAAGCAAGACGGTTGTTAAAGTGAGTTTTGTCCCGTTTTACAAGCTTTCTTGCCATAGTTGGTTCAATGAATCACTGGAGGTGTTGTTAATACTACAGTTCTTAAGCATCTAAACTAGGGGCCTTCAAACTTGACAGCTTTGAGACTTGTGGACTTCCAACTCCCAGAATTCTTCCTCCAGTCATGTTAACTCAGGAATTCTGGGAGTTGAAGTCCAAAAGTCTTAAAGTGGCCAAGTTTGGAGACCTCTGAGAGACAGCAACCAACCAACCAACCAACCAGCCACTGGCCATGCTATCTGGGGATGATGTTGACTAACTCATCGTGTTGGTGGAGGTTGAATTTGAGAGCAGGTGTGGATGTGATCCTTTGATCCAGGAGTCTTCAAACTTGAAACAGCTTTAAGACTTGTGGACTTCAACTCCCAGAATTCCTCCTCTAGTCATGTTAGCTCAGGAATTCTGAGAGTTGAAGCCTACAAGTCTTAAGCTTGCCAACTTTGAAGACCTTTGTGAGAGATGATAGATAGATAATACATAGATAGATAGATAGATAGATAGATAGATAGATAGATAGATAGATAGATAGATAGATTGGTAATTAGGTAGGTAGGTATGGAGAGAGAAGAGAGAGAGAGATGATAGATAGATAGATAGATAGATAGATAGATAGATAGATAGATAGATAGATAGATAGATAGATAGATAATAGATAGATAGATAGATAGATAGATAGATAGATAGATGATAGATAGATAGATGATAGATAATAGATAGATGATAGATAGATAGATAGATAGATAGATAGATAGATAGATAGATAGATAGATAGATAGATAGATAGATAGATAGATAGATAATAGATCAAGGGTCTTCAAACTTGACAGCTTTAAAATTTGTGGACTTCAACTCCCAGAATTCCTCCTCCAGCCATGTTAGTTCAGGAATTCTGGGAGTTGAAGAGCACAAGTCTTAAAGTTGCCTTAATCTAAAAGAAGTGAAATCACTGGACCAAAGTTTATTGAAACTGAGACGTTTCGTTACACATCCAAGTAACTTCTTCGGTTGAAATCAAAATTTTAGTTAAGCGGAGAACCAGAAAGTCCTTGGAAGGTACTTCCTCTTAGCATAGCCACTGCAGGGGTTTCTCCCAGAATGTATTGCAGTACAAGTAGTCCATGACCCCCAATTGAGCCCAAAATTGTACATTGTTAAGTGAGAAACTGGTTAAGGGAGTTTTGCCCTATCTTATGACTTTTCTTGGCATGGTTGTTAAGTGAATCTGGCTTTCCCTGTGCTTCTCAGAAGGTCACAAAAGGGGATCATATGAGCCCAGGACCCTGCAACTGTCATAAATGTGAGTCAGTTGCACAAATGATCAGTTGACCGGGGGGGATGCTACAGCGATCATGTAAAAAACGGTCATAAGTCATTTTTTCCAGTGCTGTCATAACTTTGAGTGGCCACTAAATGAACCATGGTAAGTGGAATGAAGATTCCATCATCCAGGCCAAAAGCATCTATAAAGGTTAAATCATGGCAACTAGAAGAACCAAAGTCGATTAAACCGAGGCGTTTCATTACTCACCCAAGTAACTTTTTTGGTCAAAGTCAACACTTTAGTTAGGCAGAGAGTCAGAAAGTCTTTTCGGACATTTTTTTGGCCTGGGTGATGGATTGAGTCTTCCTTTACAAGTGGTTATTAAGCCAATCTAGTTTCCCTGCCTGAGTTTTTAACAATGATTAAACTGGCAACAGTTAATAAACTGGAAAGGGATGTGGAGACTCCGTGGCTAAGGCGCTGAGCTTGTCGAGCAGACAAGATCGGCAGTTTGGCGGTTCGAATCCCTAGCGCCGCGTCACAGAGCGAGCTCCCATTCCTTGTCCCAATGGCTTCTGCCAACCTAGCAGTTCGAAAGCACATTTTAAAAAATGCAAGTAGAAAAATAGGGACCCCTTTGGTGGGAAGGGAACAGCGCTCCGTGCGCCTTCGAAGGCGTTTAGTCCTGCCGGCCACATGACCACGGAGACGTCTCTGGACAGCGCTGGCTCTTCTTCGGCTTTGTAACGGAGATAAGCTGCGCCCCCCGAGAGCCGGAAACGACTAGCACAGGTGTGTGAGGGGAAGCTTTACCTTAAACTGGCAACGGGGCAACGGAGCCTGTCGTGCCAGTGTGGGTTTTCTGCCAACTCAGCTGAGTCCTGGCAAAAGAGGCCCAACGACCTGACCTCAAGAGCCAGCAGAGGGCAACTTCAGGCCAGGTCTCCAGAACTATCCGTCGAGTCATCAAGGAGGGAGGTTGAGTGGACTTCTCGCAACCTACTTCTCCCCGAAAGAGGCACTGCCTTTCCCACACCCAACAAAGAGCAAGGGTTTATTCTTACGTCAAATTTCCCAACGTTGGAGGAAGCCAGCTTAACCTGGGACCTGCGGGAACAAAAGGAAAGACGGATGAGGAGACGGGGAACCTTTGAAATGGCTGGACTGGGAGGGACGGAGGGAGCATAGAAAGGAATTTTAGTGGAAGGAAGGAAGGAGGGAAGGAGGGAGGGAAGAAAGAATGAAAAAAGGGAGGGAGGGAGGAAGGAAAGAAGGGAGGAAAGAAGGAAGGAAGGGAGGGAGGGAGGGAGGAATGAAGGGAGGAAAGAAGGGAGGCAAGGGAAAGAAGGAAGGGAGGAAGGAAGGAGGGAGGGAATGAAGGAAGAAGGGAGGATGATAGAGAGGAAAAGACACGAAATGACAGAAGGAAGGAGGGAGGGAGGAAGAAAAGAATGAGGAAAGGAAGGGAGAGAGGGAGGAAGGAGGAAGAGAGGAAGGGAGGAGGCAGGGAGGAAGGAAGGAAGAAAGGAAAGAGGGGGAAGAGGAAAGGAGGAAGGAAGAAGGAAGGGAGGGAAAGAAGGAAGGGAGGAAGGGAGGAAGAAGGGAGGATGGTAGAGAGGAAATGACACAAAATGACAGAAGAGAGGGAGGAGGGAGGGAGGAAGGAAAAGAGAGGGAGGAAGGAAGGAAGGAAGGAAAGAAGGGAGGGAAGAGGGAGGGAGGGAGGCAGGAAAGAAGGCAGGGAGAAAGGAAGGAGGCAGGGAGGAAGGAAGGAAGAAAGGAAAGAAGGGAGGAAGAAGGAAGAGAGGGAAAGCGAAGGGAGGGAGGAAGGAAAAGAGAGG